ACCCATCGCCACCCCTAGTGTTTTGTATGAGTTGTGAAATTCAATACATCCAAGTGATGCGCCCCTCTAAATTATGCTAAAAGATGTAGTTTTGGTGCTGGAAAATTTTGTGATGAAAGATGGTGTAGATATATAAACATTATAGGGAAATGTTTTTATGCTTTGTTTACAACATAGAATACAGCATAGAAGTTCTATCCTCTCCCTACCATCCAGCTGTCTAATTTTGATCAAGAGAGCCACTCACCGTTTGATCTTAGATCCGACGTTTTAAAGTATTTTATTTTTAATTTTTTATACAAATTGTATGAATATGAAATTTGGTGTGTGCCATCTTCTCATTGGAGTGCACCTATAAAAAATATTAAAAATAAATTTTCGATAAAATATAATGACCAAAATACTATTTGAAACTTTTAGGAGTATTTTAGTCATTTTATTTTATTGAAAATATATATTTTTATATTTTTCCCTAGTGCGAGTTTAATAGAGGAATGGACATACAAAATTTAGTATCAAAATCGTTTATAAAAATAAAAAATAAAAATAAAATAGTGTAGAGATATGACATTGTGATTGGGGCAATCTCAACCCTGCATTTCGAATGGACAGTTAGATAAAGGGGAGGATAGAATTTCTATGCTGAAGGGGAAGCATAAAAAGCTTGCCCCACATTATAATATCTTGAAAATAGATGGTCTAGATAATGCACTACAAGATGCACTATTTTCATGACGTGAAATAAGTTTTTTTTCCCTTCTTCATATATCTCGAGATCAAAATGATAAGTTAGAAGATTTTACAATATATGAGCAATTTGTTTTGTTGGGCTTTTCGTTTTATACATGTAGTATATTGGTTGACACCTTATATAAATATTTACTTTACCCACAATGGAATTTATTAAATAGTTCATCCCTTGAATTTATAAAAACAATTATTTGGGGAATTTTATCGAGACAAATTCAAAAGATGTACTATTCAACATTTATCTGTTTGCATTTTATTTATGAAAAACTCATCAAAATACCCATGTCCCGAAGTTGCAATGATTAAAAATGAGTAAAAGATTAAATAGTTCATAACTTAGATGCATTGATGATGGGTGGGGTTCGTTTAAGGCATCGCAATTAAAGTAGGTCGCACCTCAAAACTATGGTCAAAGATACAATTTTGGTGCCAAAGAGCATTGCCATGGCATGAAAATATATTATTCAGTCTTGATTAATAAATTTAAAGCTACAATAATAGTAAAAATTGAACATATCTATTAACAATTGAAAATTTAGAAAATAGATGGTCCAGATGATGCGTCACAATATGCATTAGTTTTCAAGATTTGAAATATTATTTTTTTTTCATATCCATATATCTCAACATCAAGATAATTAATTTAGTTTTTCAGCATTAGAGGAACCTTTTTCCATGGGTTTTTTAGTTGCGACCTACTTTAGTAATATAAGGTTGATACCTTATACAAATTTATCCATTAATGATAGATTTTGCTGCAATGCAATAGAAAATAACCAAAATACTCATGAGATTTACGCTATTATCATTTTACACATTTATAACTACTCAAACTCATGTTCACACGTGTTTTATGGGTATTTTAAAATTGAATCAACAATATACATAAAGTGATAAATACTGTATCTTCTATAGATATTTTGATAATTTTAAACAACAAAAAGAAAGCCATCAAGCCTCTATCGATGCATTTTTGCATCCCGCAGCTTCGGCATATAACTTAGCCTTGTTCATCTTAGGTGTAATAGCGCTCAATCAGTAAGTTATTACGTACTTTTTAAAAGATAACTGCGTCTAGGCAAATCTCCTATTGTCGCCGCACCTTTAACTCCATTATCATTGAATTGTCATTTAGGGGCCTTAATTGGTAATTCAAGTTGTTTATCTCTCGACAATGTAGCTTATCCCCCATCGTCTCACTGGCCGACCTTTACCTTGTTATTTTTGGGGTCATATTGCCTTGGTTTGGTACCGCAAGGGTTCACATTGAAGGGTATTTTGGGCTATTTTACAAAAAAAGGTATTTTAAACGCATGATTTATAGAATAATATAAGCACGTGGCCCTATTATTAAATAAAATAGTGACTATTGTCACTTTTTCACGATGCACTTTTTTCCAGCCTAAACAAATCGCAGCCGCAAGTTGGACCCATGCTGAAGTCCACCACACCCTGATTGACACGTGCCACACCACGCACACTTTTATTATTGAATGTTACACTTTTGTTTTCAAGTGAAGAGTGGTTGGAAAAACATGAACTTCTTTTGCCTTTCGATAGTCTCTATCTTATCCATTAGAGGACTAAAAAATCTCTTATAAATAGAGAAATATAGGCAAAAATATCTTATAATTAGTGGTGTTTATGAAAATTTGTTTATGAAAATTTTATATATTTTATATTTTATAATTTTTTCATTAGATGCTCATATTCTTTATGGCCTGAAATGAAAAAGAAGATAAGGTAGAGAATTAAGAGAGAGCTTTTGTCACTTGTAAGAGCCCGAAGAGAACTGAACTACAAAATAAAATAAATCCCATTAAAAAATATGTAGGAAGACTGTGAGGGTCCAAGAAGAAGTATTATATGCGGGGTTTGTTTATAATGAAACCATTTAGCTTTGATACAAGGAGGTCACAATTATTTATAACCATCCGTTATGAAATATGATAGCTTTAGTATTTCACAAAATTAAAAAAAAATTTCAGTAAAACTTTGAGCTTAGTTAATGGAATAAATAAAATCTCCCAATTTCACATCTAATAGTCAAGATGAATTGTGACCACCTTGTATTAAAGGTAAATTGTGCATATATATTCCCATAAAAACCTAATAAATAAAAATAAGTATTGTATGAATAAAAGGGGATAAGAGTGTGGGAGAGAGAGAACATTTGCTACTTATAAGAGTCCAAAGATGGAGAGGGAACCAAGGCATATACTATTCAGAGCTTAACAAGTATCACAACAGATTTATTTGGTGGGACTTTTCTGTTTTCATTGGTAGTTGGTGTGACATTTTGGCATTAATCAATCTCATAAAATCACCAATATGTTTGGCCTCTTGCCGTGTGTGGGTATATTTGTTATTTTTATAATGTTTGAAAATTTAAAACAATAATAATGTAAAAGATAAAGTATTTAATATTTGGATTTTTTAACTATTTAAACAAAAAAGAATGCCGATCTAATTTGAAATTGTCAGGAATTGATGGGAACCAACCCAGTTTTTTCATGCAAGATAGGCAATCGGGTTGGTTCTTTCCGAATTGGCCAAGTAACATGTTTTATTTTATTTTATTATTATTATTATCTATTGAAAAATTCTCACCTAGAAGAGTGGATCGGATTGTTGATCCATATCAGCAAACCGATTTCTTAGATGGCAATTTCACTCGGCCGGTCTGGGTTTTAAAACTCTAATTCAAGCTCATAAATCATGAGCTTAAATAAAAAATAAAAAATATTAAATAACCCATTTTGAAAAAGAAAATAGTTTGATAGGGCTGCAATCCTGTCAAAATAAATAAAGGCTCACCTCGTAAGTGATCGATTATTGCAATTTAAGCATTGAATATTATAATTGTGAAAAAATTAGAATTTCAAGCTCTAAAAATAATGCGTAGTGATCGTGACCATCTATTTTATCTAAAAAAATATGTGTTCAAAGATCCATAAGATCTGTATTATTTTTAAAATTTTAAATTTTATTGTCCATGTTGAAAATTGATTACGGAGCCATGATGGAGATTCCCTTGTAAAAAAAAATATTTTCGAACGAGGACTCCAGGTGAGGATTTATTTTGTTTCATAAAGCCTTGGACTTGCAGAAATGTAATCCTTCGATGAATTTCAGGGGGAGCAACTAAAGTGGCATTTTCGTCATTTTACGTGACGTTCGCCGGTTGTGGATGAGAGGGGGGCCACTTGCCCGGACATTTTCGTGTTTTCTTAAAACGAATTACAAGTTTACAGACAAGAGGACCCCAACTATAGGGGTATTTTCGTCATTTTCAAAGTTCACTGGTTTTTGGTCTTCTCCTCATAAAGTCCATCTTCCTTCTCTCCATTTTTATTGGCGTTATTCTCTCTAATCTTCCTTTGCAATTTACAGTAAGAAAAGGAAAAATTAAAACTGAAAATTTTTTGTTTCTTTTTTTTTTTTTCTGAATTTTCACCAACCATTTATCAAGCTCTGCAATTTTTTGGTGGAACTATTTTCTAAGAATCCCCCAAAAGTATTGTTGTGCGTGCCTTTTTATTTATCCTTGAAGAAACCCAACAAAGAATTCCCATTTTTTCCGTATTTTCTTTTGAGAGCAGTTGAAATGGAAATCTGAGTTTTGATGGGCTTCACATTTTGAAGGTTTTTTTTGGTGTTTTGGGTTCTATAACTTCGAATCAATTGGCCGCGTTTTCGTTTTTCCATTTCAGGGTCGGTTTTATCATCTGAAATTAGGACTAACTAGTGGGTTTTATTCTACAATTAAAAAAGTATTTGGGTTTTTTTTTCTTCGCATGAAAATATTATTTGAGCTGAATTTGAACCATATCAGTGGATTCTGATTACCCTCAACAGGAAGAAAGTAAGCAGAGGGAGAAATAACAGATAGAGTATTTTGATTAAGCTTTTCCCAAGAGCTTCTTATCAAGAAAAGAGTATTCTTTAGTGTTTTTGTGCTGATCAATTGTTGGGGTGAGATCAATCCTTATTCAAAATGACGATAGTTTCTTTACCTGGAAGTTCCGGTCTGCTCGACCCTGTCTCGAGGCAAAAGGTCACATATTTCAGCAATGGGTATGTTTTGGGTCTTACAGTGATTGCTGGTATTGGTGGATTGTTGTTTGGCTATGATACAGGTATTTTCTCCATCACAGTTTAATTTATGAAGTCCATGGAGTGCAAAATTTGAACCCCAATTTCTTTTGGGTATTCCTCTCGCATAAGAGGTTCATTCTTTACTTTTCTAACTTTTAAGTCTAGAAACTATTTGTGCAAAAATTAAAGGTTTGAGGAAGGAGGATTTGGTAACTGTTTTGATCAGCTGTTGTACTTAATTGATATTTTTGCATCATGTTGTAACTATTTTAAGGCTTCTTGGGGAATTGATTATGTTCCCTATTGTTATTGATTCTTGAGTGAGTAATTGAATTGGGTCATATGTCCTAGTGTTTTTGATTTAGGAGTGGATAATTGAATTGGGTCATATCTCCTAGTGTTGTTGATTTATGAGTAAGCGAATTGGGTCATATGTCCTACAGTTATTTATCTATGAGTGAGAAATTCAAGTGGATCAAATTTGCTCTCATTCTAAATTTCATGGTGTAATGTTGTAAAATTTATATGGTTGAGTTGTTCCTTGATTTGGGTTCACCCCTTCTTCTTTTTTGTGTTGCTTGATGTGGATTCATTGATGAAACGGCTTTTTTCTTGTCTTTCAAAAAGGTATCCACAGGTCTTTTTTTTTGGGTAATTCATTGGGGAAAGACAGGCCCTGCCCGTTCTTTCAATAGATTGGGAGTTACATCTTGAAGGTGTTAATGGGGGGTATCAGCGGTAGGAATGGATACCACGATGTGGTAATTGGGTGTGGGGATGCTACCACTACAACCCCAACCCCTTTCATAAAGGTATCCATAGGTCTGTAATTCACATTATGCAAGTTCTGAATTTATTCAGGGCCTGGTTCAGTGCTAGCACAGTAATAGATTTTTTTCTTTACTTTGTATTTTAGAAAGGGATCAACTAGTTAATGGAACTCTCTCTCATATATATATGGCTCCTTCATAGTGGGTTTTGCATGATTCATGCAATTTGAATCATAGAGTTCACATTAGAAGCTCTGTGCAAGTTCAGCATCTGCACTTAATTATTGTAATGCGTCTCTTATTTCTTCTTCCTTAGTTATTGAATATCATGGTGAATGTTTATCACTTTCTTTTTTTGGGTGTCTGTTTTATTGGTCCATGCTAATTCTTCACAAGTAAGCCAGGGAGAGGCTTTGATCTTCTCCCCTTGATTATCAGAAATGGAAGCGAATTGTATCAACTGGTATGGGCTCCATGTAGCTGGTTAAAACTTTCTTATTCTCCCTTTTGTGTCTTCTCAGCATTCCATTACTTAGATCTCTCCACAATGTATTTATGGATTTATGGTTCATGCTACTTTGTATGACTTGAATATTCATCTATTAGAACCTCCTCTTCTCTACTGTGTGAGTGCGATACTTCTGTTCTACTACTGTTTCATAAAAAGAGATTGTCATTTCATTACTTCTGGAGAAATTCATTACGGCAGGCATTATTCTTTCTTCTATTCACTCTTATGAATAGGCGTGAGTAGGCAACATGCTTTTCCATGAAGGTTTTAAGTTTAACTCCTGAGATAGTTTTTTCTCCTCTCACATAAGTTTCGAGAGACAAAGGGCTTGGGCATTCTAGTGTTAGAGATGTACACATTTTTACATTCATTAGGGGAACCTTAGCCATTTCTTCATTCCCCCGAGTCTTTTTAACATGTTTCGTAGTGGCTGTTTGATCATTTTTACAATTCCATAATCATGTAGAATGGAGTGTAATCCAGTAATAGTTAGAAAAAGCGTGTTATACGTGAGGGAAGGAGTACTCATATGTTGTAAATCAAAGAGAGATTGAACATGCTGCCTCTTTTTATGTGGAGGATGCATTTGGGAATCAATGGATCTCTAGTGTCCTACATATGCATTTATTTGCCGATTTTATATCCTTTTCTTTGGTCATGTGGAGAATATGAACGAGCTTTAAAAAAATTTCTTCGAAGGGATCAAAGCCGGCACTGTATGATTATGAGTCACTCTTGGAAAACTCTTGTAATGACACCCATAATCTACATGAACAAACTATAATGGTTTTATAGTTTTCTTTAGTCGTTTGTTCTGTACACTTCGTACTTTCACTGCATGAGGGGCAGTATTAGGTGTAAGATCACCCTGCATCATGGTTGTCTTTATGCATATATTCTATGTCAAGGATTGCAATTGGTCAAAATAAAGACGGGCTGCTACTTTTTCAGGTGTTATATCAGGTGCCCTTCTGTATATTCGTGATGATTTTCAGGCTGTGGATAAGAGCAGTTTTTTACAGGTAAGAATTATGGAAGCCACTCTTCCTGTGAGGGGTTATACTTTTGTCCTGCTATTGCGTATCTCATTGTTTATCAGAATTATTAAAGAAACTATGGCATAACCCAACTGTTTACAGCAGTGACCGGCTGACCACTGAGCTAATATATATTTTAAAAAGTATTGCCCTACCTTGGTTTGGTCCAACCAATCAAAACTAGTCGATCTAATCAGAAAACTGGTCAAGCATTAGTTTTGACCTGTTTCCGGTAAACCCTAATTTTTGGTTTGGACTGAACTAACCAAAGCACTTGGTGATTCAATGCTGGTCCCATCAGGTCTTAGTTTCTTTTTTTTTTTTTCTTGTAATTGATGTATGTCTTGATATCAGTGAATGGTAAATTGTCTATGAAGAATTGTTTTTTCAGGAAACCATAGTGAGCATGGCATTGGTGGGTGCTATTATTGGATCAGCTTTAGGGGGTTGGATCAATGATACATATGGGCGTAAGAAAGCAACCCTTTTGGCCGATGTAATATTCGCCATCGGATCAATCTGCATGGCGGCTGCTCCTGATCCTTACGTGCTCATACTTGGGAGGCTTTTGGTTGGTTTGGGTGTGGGAGTAGCATCTGTTACTGCCCCTGTATATATTGCAGAGGCTTCTCCTTCTGAGATAAGGGGAGGGCTCGTAAGTATGAATGTTCTTATGATCACAGGGGGCCAGTTCCTCTCCTACCTTGTGAACATCGGTTTTACACAGGTCAGTATCATTTCCTCTCTCCAGGGAAGATACTTATAATGTCTATGGTATAACTTAGATATTTCGTCAGTCGTAAGATCTGAAATACTTGATCAAAATAAGACATGAACTTGGTTAGCAATGAGATGTGCAATTGATCTGGTACAATTGTAGATGACTGCCTCTCTTAGTGATGACTCCATGCCATGCTCTTGATACTTCTATGGAAATTATACCTTCTTAATTCGACTTTTCTAATTATCAAACACAGAAAACAAGATATGCACGTACGTTATCGTCTCTTGGTTTAGTGGTTATGATATGTGTGTGAGAGCCTAATCTTTGTTTTGTATGAACTTGGTTAGCAATGAGATGTGCAATTGATCTGGTACAATTGTAGATGACTGCCTCTCTTGGTGATGACTCCATGCCATGCTCTTGATACTTTTATGGAAATTATACCTTCGTAATTAGACTTTTCCAATTATCAAACACAGAAAACAAGATATGCACTTACATTATAGTCTCTTGGTTTAGTGGTTATGATATGTGTGTGAGAGCCTAATCTTTGTTTTGTTTTTTATTTCATGTCCAACTCCTTCTCTTAATTTTTTTTCCAAATAATATTTAACTACTGTCTTATTGAGCATCGCAAGTTGCAAAAAGGGGCCCAATCCATGTCATGTTTTGCATGTAATGCTAACCTTTCTTGCTCTAATGACCATACATAACAAGAACTATGCATATCTTTTTCTTTCAGGGGCGGAAAGCCTTCAGTATGTTGTAAATTCGGTTGCTGTATTGCTAATTATCATTTTGTTTGTTGGTTGTTTATCAAAAAAAAATTATCATTTTGTTGGTCAAAAGAAAACTGTTATTTTTATGATTTTCTGTGAATTGTGAATGAACAGGTACCGGGAACGTGGCGCTGGATGCTTGGGGTTTCTGGCGTCCCTGCTGTGGTGCAATTTTTCATGATGCTATTCTTGCCCGAGTCTCCTCGCTGGCTTTATCTCAAGGTAGAAAAAGGAGAACGCCAATGCATCTCTCTGCATGTAAATGCTTTGAAGTCTGAATGATCTCAACCATGCATCCATTTTTTATCATGCATTTGTTTCCATACAACATTTTTCTACAAACTTACAGAGCTCTCTCTCTCCGGGGTGTCAAATCCTCTGTCATTTTACTATAATCTTTTGCCTTTTGTTTCAAAACCCAAAACAGGTCAAGAGTATCTTTTGTGACCTGAGGCATTTCAGTATACTTCAGAAATTGGTAGCTTTTCTTGATGCTATAGGATATCTGGTTATGCAGGATCAAAAGGTTAAAGCTATTGAAGTGCTTGAAAAGATATATGAGCCCGAACGATTGAAGTATGAGATTGACCGGCTTTCGGATGCTGCAGAGGAAGAGCTTAAACAGGAGAAAGCTGTCAGCTACATCAATGCTTTCAAGTCCAAGGAAATCCGGCTTGCTCTGTTTGCTGGAGCAGGACTTCAGGTATCCCCACACACACATGCACATGCAAAGGCACTAGTAGAGAGAGAGAGAGAGAGAGAGAGAGAGAGAGAGTAGTAGTAGTAACGACACATATACACGAAGGAGTAGACGAACGACACAACTACACGAGAAGTAGTAGTTAGTAGAGCACGAAGACGAGAGAGAGAGAGAGAGAGAGAGAAGAGAGAGA